TCATATTCTGGATGTTTTAGAAGGAAAGGAGATGAAAAAGGAATAGAATATCTATTTGCTAAAATAATCACTGAAACCTTTCTAAGACTTTGGAAACATATGGACATTTACATCCAAAAGCTAAAAATCTCCAAATATAGTCAACCCAAAAAGGTCTCTGAAGCACATTATAATAAAACTGTCAAAAGTCAAAGACAAGGAGAGAATTTTTTTAAACAGCAAGAAAAAAACATCTGGGAATTAACCACCATACCTGGGAATTAACTGATTTTTAACGAAGTCCAATAACGTATTTGGAAAAGAACAATCTCTTCAATAAATGGTGCTGGGAAAACTGACTACCCACATGAAAAAGAAAGAAATGAGGCTCCCTACCTCTCACCCTATACAAAAATCAACACAAAATGGATTAAAAACCTAAATATAAAATGTCTTGAAACTACTAGAAGATAATACAGAAGAAATGCTTCAGGACATTGGACTTGGCAGAGATTTTATAGCTAAGCCCTCAAAAGCACAGGCAACAAAAGCAAATGTAGACAAATTGGATTATGACAAACTAAAAAGCTTCTGCACAGAAATGGAAACAATCAATAGAGGAATGAAACAACCTACAGAACGAGATAAAATACTGGCAAAGTATTCATCCAACAAAGAATTAATACCTAGAAAGTATAAAAAACTCAACTCAATAGCAAAAAAAAACAAATACTTTTAAAATGGGCAAATGATCTGAATACACATTTCTCAAAATAAGACATAAAAATGACCAACAAATACATGAAAAAAATGTTCAACATCACTAATCATCAGGGAAATGCAAATCAAAACCACAATGAGTTATCATCTCCCTACAGTTAGAATGGCTATTATGAAAAAGACAAAAACAAATCCAGAGGGCGAGGGTGAAGAGAAGGGGAAACTCATACACTATTCATAGAAATGTAAATTAGTACAACCACTATGGAAAACAGTGTGTGGATTTCTCAAAAAACTACAACTACCATGTGATCCAGCAATCCCACTACTACCCAAAGAATAGAAAATGAGTATGTTAAAGAGATAGGTGTGCACTACAGCACTATTCACAGCAGCCAAGATATGGAGTCAACCTAAGTATCCATCAAAAGAATGGATAAAGAAAATGTGGTACATATACAAAATGAAATACTATTCAGCCATTAAAAATATGAAATTCTGTAATTTGCAGCAACATGGATAGCACGGAAGGTTATTATCTTAAATTAAATAAGCCAGGCACAGAAAGATAAACACTGCATGTTCCCACCAATATGTGAAAGAAAAGTAAGTTGATCTCAGAGAAGTAGGGAATAGAATAGTGAAACTAGTGGCTGAGAAGGGTGAAGGAGAGGATACTATAGAGAGAGGTTGGTTAACATATATAAAATTACAGCTAGGTAGAAGGAATAAGTTTTGGTGCTCTATAACGCTGTGGGGTGACTATGGTTAACAATAATTTATTATATATTTTCAAATAGCTAAAAGAGTGGATATTGAATTTTCCCAAAACAATTACAGACAGGTATCAAATACTGTACCCTATATATATGTACAATTATTATGTGTCAATTAAAAATACATCCACAAATTTATTGACACTTCTTTCATAAAAAAGGAGTCATCTAATCCCCTCTCCTTAGACACTGATAACCTTAGTAACTAAGTTCTAATAAATTAACCATGGCTTAACATGACACTGCATGACTTCCATTGAGTTTAGAAAAAGCATTATCACTTCCAACCAGATTTTTCTTCTTTGGGATGCTCATCCTTGGAACCCAGTTAGCATATTGTGAGGAACCAAACAGTGCTGTGGAAAGATGAGGAGTAGGTGTTCTGGCCACGGCTTCAGCTAAGGACTAGGCCAACACCAGTATCACGTCACCAGACATGTAAGAGAAGGAGTCTTCAGATGATTCCAGCCCCAATCTTTTGGCTGCCCCAGCTGATGTAGAGCGGATAATGGAACAGAGAAAATATGTTCCCACCAAGCTCTGCATAAATTACAGATTTGTAAGCAAAGTAAGGGTTGTAACTGTTTTAAACCATTACATTTTGCGGGTGGTTAAACAGCAATAGATAAGAGGAACAGGAACAAAGAATGGTGAATATTGGACACTAGTTCAGAGCATATACTGCACCCTACAGGACAATATCAAAAAGGGCTATCTCTCAGAAGGCACCATAACTAAATCTTCAGTGTATCTTCAATAAGATACTTCTTGGTGATGGAGTACACAATTAGTCCAATAAATTCCATGGGCAAAAGCCCAATGCGTTACTTGTTTCCTTGTGGAGTGAATTTCTTGGTCGAAAGCAATATAGCATTAGAGAATATGATAGGATCTAAAGCACTGAGTAAGTCCCTAGATGGTGGTGTCAGCGGAAGTACAGTGAGCAGGGGAAGGAAATCCCAATCTAGAATAAACATATTTCAGAGAGGACAAATAAGAGCTCCCTCAATGATGAGGGAGGGCCGAGGGCCAATGGCCAATGGCATAGACTTGCCTACATGTGGCTGGTTATACTCCTAGAGCACGGAGTATATGAAAACTCAGAATTGGTCACTGCTCCTGAACACCCAGCAGTGGCTTGGTGATCCCATGCATAGCTCAAATCCTGTTGCCATTGCCATTGATTTCCTGATTCTGCTGAGCAGGCAGTGAGGCTGAGTTTCATCACAAAGCAGTTCACTTCATCCATATGAGTCTTAAGATTTATTCTGAGAGGTCTATCACTGTATCCCTTCTGGAGTCTTTCTTGTCACCAGTTTTCCAATCTCGTTCTTTCCATGTCCTTGACAAACTGACCAAAAAGTTAACCTCTGACCGTGAATTAACCATTTCTCCTTTAAGCCAAAGTGAACATCAAAACATACTGGTGAAAATTCTACCCACTGAAAGAACTTCACTACTTCGATATTCTTCAGGTCCAAAGCAGGATTACAACATAATGATCAATTTCCAGCAAGTACCAGCATATCGTCCAGATCAACATGTACTTTGCACATCATAGGTACCCAAAAGATACTTAAAATAATTTTTAAAATATAGCTTCCTATTGGTCTAAAAGACCTTGTTGGGTATGGCCTCTACATACTCCTTTCACATGTCTGTACTCTAAGCCTTGACCCTCCTTTCCTGCAATGTTCCATGCTCTCTCCGTTCCTGCAATGTTCCATGCTCTCTCCATTCCTGCAATGTTCCATGCTCTCTCTGTTCCTGTAATGTTGCATGCTCTTTCCTGCTACAGGATCTTTAGTTGGACTGTTCCCTCTCCTTGCTTAGTTAACTCCATCCTTCAGATCTTGACTCAAGATACTTACTGTCTTACAATCATCTTTCTTCAGAGTACTTACCTCTGCATTAATTTCTGTCTCATCTTGGGACTCTAAGTTCTAAGATTATGTACACTCACCACTGATTCTCCAACACCTAACATAGTGCCTGACATATATGAGGTGCTAAATAATATTTTGTTGAATGAATTCATACATGAATCAGTGAATGAATGAGGCTGTAATGATGCAGTAATTTACCTATAAGTTATCACTGCCAGGTTTGCTTAAGAAGCTTTCTGCCATCACAATTTTTTCTCCTCTAATTCACATTTCTTTATTAATTTAAGAAAAAGTATTCGTCAAGACAACTTTTGCATATACTAGCATTACTTATCTACTAGCACTATGCAACAGAAATGTGACCACATATGTAATTTTAAATATTCTAATACCCATGTTACAAAATTTAGTAATAATATATACTATTTAGCCTAATATACCCCCAAACATTATCATTTCAACATGAAATCAATACAAACATTGTTAATGAGATAGTTTATTTTCTTCAAACTTGTCTTTGAAATTCGGGGGTAGTTTACAATTACTTATCTTAACTGGAACTAGCTATATTTCAAGTGCTCAAGAGCCACAGATGACTAGCGGATACCACATCATATGCTATATCCCACAGTGTAGTTCTACAGGATTCACTTTCAGTAGAGAGGATCTCATCACCCTCAGCTCCTATAATTATTGTCAGGAAAACCACCTGAAGTCAAACTTTCACCCAGACGGGCCTAACTATTCCAGTACAAGAGATGATTTACACCAGACCCGGGTTTTCAGTTCAGGATTTGGAACTGAGTTGTCTCTGGGAACGATTTTAGCTGGTGTTACCCTTTTCACCTTCCTGTAACATTTTTTTTTTTTTTTTGGAAATTTTAAGTTCAGGGGTACAAGTGCAGGTTTATTATGTAGGTAAACTTGTGTCATGGGGGTTTGTTGTGCAGACTATTTCGTCACCCAGGTATTAAGCCTAGTACCCAATAGCTATTATTCCAGATCCCACCCTCCACCCTCCGAAAGGCCCGTGAGTGTTGTTCCCCTCTTTGCGTCCATGTGTTCTCATCATTTAGTTCCCACTTATAAGTGAGAACGTGTGGTATTCGGTTTTCTGTTCCTTTGTTAGTTTGCTTAAGGATAATAGCCTCCAACTCCATCATGTCCTTGCAAAGGGCATGATCATGTTCTTTTTTATGGCTGCAGCTTTTAATCTTTTAATTTAAATGGATTCTTTGCTCCTCCTGAAGATGGAGGCCATCTCCTTTGCAAGGGCTTCTATTTCTCCCTCTTTGAGGCCAAGATACGATTTCCGCATTTTTAGGTACTTCATAGTAAATCAGTTGGTTCCCCTGCCTGCCGAGGAAAGGTCAGGGGGCTTGTGTAGCGCCACGTCCAGCACTGTTAATTCTTTCAGCGCTTTCGCTTAGCTTGGGCCTCTGGGGGAGCACTCGGAAAACAGCACACGCCAGGGTCTGGGACCACACAGAACCGGATTCGGATTTGCTCCCTCAGCCCTGAAAAGTGGCTCTCTCCCCATCAGCATTATTTGCACAACGGTTTTGTTTTTGGGTGCATCTACCTCACCGCACGCCGGCCATAGAGCAACAAACAGCAAGCACCTAGGGAACACTCGCACCTTCTACTCCTTCAGCCCCGCCACGAACCCTTGGCCAAAGGGAAGGGGGCAGGACATCCGCCCGGTCTCAGCCACCTCCGGAAGTGACGTCTGAGTGTCAACATGCAAGATGGCGGCCCATCACCGGCAGAACACGGCAGGGCGGAGGAAAGTGCAGGTATGGAAGCCTGGTTCCTCGGCCTTCCGGACGCGGCAGGCAGCTCCGGGCCCACTCCACCTAGCAGGTGCCCGGGGCCGCGGCTGGCTGGGGTAGCGGCATGGGGCGAACGGGGCGGGGCGCGGCCGGCCGCGAGGGGTGGGGCCGCGGCGCTAACGGCTCGAGGAAGGGGCGGGGGTCGGCCTACTTGGCCTGGGGGCCCAGGCCCGGGACCCTCGCGGGTGGCAATCTGAGCCCTATATTGCTGGTCGCCGCTCTTCTGTGGGAATAGACTTGCGGAGTCGGGATAGGCTCGTTCCCCGCCCACCTGACTCCCCCTTCCCCTGCGTTTCTCCGAAGCGCTCTGCCCGCGCTGCGTCCTACCGGAGGCCTCCAGGGGTTTCCCGGGGGGTGGGCGTTGGAGGAGTGAGTGGCCTGTGCGGGGGCGTGGCGAGGTGGCGGAGCGCCAACGGCCCTGCGGGGTTTCTGCAGTGGATTCCGCACCTGGGAGCCCCCAGCCCTCGCTTATGTTGGGCTTGTCCCCTGGGTAGGTGGGAATGACAGAATGTGCATGGGGAAATTATAATTTTAATTGTTTTGGAATTTGGAATTTAAGTTCGGCTTCATTTCTTCATCTTCAGTGTGCATCGCTGAATCTTTATTGTTTGTATAATTTATTGTACATGTGGTAAAGAGTTGTCTAATCCTACCGTGTGTGCCTTGTGCCTTATGCCTTTGTGAATTCACTTTTGTTTGGTGGTACGCTGAAGAGTTATTGCCACTTAGTGTTTTCAGTGATGCAGGGAATAGAAGCCCTATTACAGGTGTTTTCCTGCAGGTGTATTGTACGTAGTAGTGGCAGTTTGGCACTTAGATTGCCCCCTCCTCCCCCGTGTAGGAATAAGTAACACCTAGGCTTTTTTTTTTTTTTTTTTAATAAAACAGCATTATTTGGAGTTCTGCAGATTGAAATCAAGTGTCAGTTGAAGGTAGTCAGATAAAGGGGTCCTTCAGTAAGATAATCCCAGCAGAAAGTGGGAGGCCATAAAGTCTTCTGAGTAGTTCACATCTTGGGTTTTATTCATCGCACTGATCAGTGCAGTCTCTTAAGCACTCACTAGATGTTTGTTGAATTGAGTGAAATTAATAAGAGTCTAAACTCACCCCTGTTAGGTGAGGTTTTCAGTGCATTAGTGATGGAATTTAAGTATCACCAGCATCCAGGGCAGGTAGTGAGAATGTCTCCTAGGGACTGAAATATAACTCAAAATTGTGATCTGATTGTATGATAGACTCTGTGGTGATATACTCCTTAGGGGAGTAAGGGTAGTTAATCAGGCCTGTCAGTTTATTGCTTTAAGACTTAAAAGTCCTATGACTGCAGTGTTCTCCCTGCTTCCTCTCTCCCAGGCCTGCCCACTCCCAAAATATGTGCAATAAAGTATATATATTTTAAAAAGACTTACAAGGCAATTGTACTAGTATGGACTGGGGTGAATGTAAATTAACTGCAGCAGGTTTGGAAAAACCGTGTTTCAATAGGCCGAATGTGAGCCAGTGCACACAGAATGAGGCAGGTGATAGATAAGTCTGCCTTTCAGTGGTCAGAGTACAAAATTAGAGTTTGGTGTTCTGCACTTAGAACCTTGCTCTTCATAGGTAGCAATCAGATTGGTGAACTGACTTGAAATTATTTCCTATGAAGAATTTTTGAAAGGGCTGTCTAAGATTAACCTGCTGAAGAGAAGATTCAGCAGGAGCGTTTGGAATTTGTCCCCAAGGTATAGAAGCAGCCTGAGAAGCCACAGGGATTGATTTCATTGGAAACATCATTGTCTGTGAGTGTTTTTTAAACCAGTGCGTGTTCATTGTAAACAGCCAACAAACAAAAGTATAAATTACTTTTATACTTGGAGTTGCCCTCCATGCTTCCAAGAAGGCTACTGTGGGCAATGTCGTGTTTGAATCTTAGACCAGAGTTAAACAGCCTGAGCATTCTTGACATTTTCGTCTGGATAGTTCTTCGTTGTGTCTGAGGGAGGGAGCTGTCCTGCAACTCACATTGTTTAGGATCATCCCTTGGTTCTACCAACTAGATGTAGTAGCATCTCCCCAGTTGTGACAACTAAAAATGTCTCCAGACAAATGTTCCCTCAAGGGCAAAACTGCATCTGGTTGAGAACCACTGTTCTGTACCTCTTCCTGTTTGTGTACCTGACTTAATGGGATTTTTTTTTTTTTTTTTTTTTTTTTTTTGCTATAAATGGAGCCATAGTATTCACTGTTTTGTGTCTTCCTTTGTCAAATTTATAAATAAACATCCCCTTTGGCCCAGAATTCCTTATCTAAAAATATATTCTACAAAATTGCATATGCATATATCTATCCCTGCTTATGCAAGGGTGTTGTGTGAAGCCATTATTGAATTGCTATAAAGAAATACCTCAGACTGGGTAATTTATAAAGAAAAGAGGCACAATTGGCTCACAGTTCTGCAGGCTTTACAATAAGTATGGTGCTGGATCTGCTCATCTTCCAGGGAGGCCTCAGAGAGAGTGAGTCTAAAAAGCAAGTCAGCATGGCCTGATCCCATTTCCACAAAGGGAAATGCATTTTAAACGTCTGAAAGGGTAATAGCAGTGATTATCCCTTTGGGAATAGATTGTATGATTATAGATAAGACAGGACATGGGATATCTTTTAGTGTGAAATATACACAGACCTTGGTATTTTTGAACTTTTTACCACATTATTTACTCTTACTCATTTTGGAAAAGGCATATATGGGTACTTGGAGTAAATATACTTTGTCATAACTGTGTCTCAGACCAAGAGACAGTATCCCCGAGTTCCTTGTCAAGTTGTAGACCAAGACAAACCCTTGAGACTTAAACTACTGCTAAATAATTAGTGGAGGCCGGGCGTGGTGGTTCATGCCTGTAATCCCAGAACTTTGGGAGGCTCAGGTGGGCAGATCACTTGAGGTCAGGAGTTTGAGACCAGCCTGGCCAACATGGTGAACTCCTGTCTCTACTAAGAATACAAAAATTAGCCAGCGTGGTGGCATGTGCCTATAATCCCAGCTACTCGGGGCTGAGGCAGGAGATTCGCTTGAACCCAGGAGGTGGAGTTTGCAATGGGCCGAGACCGTACCACTGCACTCCAACTTGGGCAAAAGAGTGAGATGCCATCTCAAAAACAAAATAATAAAATGATAATTACTTTTAAAAATCACTGGAGAGGGATCCAAACATACTGCATATTAATTATAGATACAATTTTAAATGAGTCCATGTCCTACCACCCTCAACTTCTAAGAAAACTGGAGATACGACGGAAGAGGGACGGATTTGTGACTGTCAGAAACATAGTCAAATATGTGAGTTCAGTTTTATGACGCAGCTTTTTCTCTGGTAACCAGGATATGAAAGCAAGCCTTTTCTCTCCTTGGCGGTCCCTTAGTGCTCCGGTTTTCCAGCAGCCTGATCTGTTGGTTGGCTCTCTGCCTCCATTTTCCCTCCTGTCATGGCCCCTTCCTTCACTTGAGTCACAGTGCTTGGGGAGAAGCTGGACTGGTTTAGTTACCCTGGTAGGCAGAGTGAGCTCTCCCCAAAAAGTTTATGCCCTAATCCCTTGCAAACATGTTATGTTACATGGTAATGTAACATGTTAATCCCTTGAAAACATGTTATGTTACGTGATAAATGGAATTTTGCAAATGTAATGAGGTTACAGACTTGAAAAATAAGGGGATTAGCCCAGTGGACCCATTCTAATCATATGTGTCCTTTAAAACAGAGGACTTGCTCTAGCTGGAGGCGGAAGTCAGAGAGATGTGGTGCGAGAGAGATTTGAGTTGTAAGAAGGACCCAACCTCTATTGCAGGACAGGGCCACTGGAAAGCATGAGAAGGAAAGCAGGCTGCCTCTAGGAGCAAAGATGGTCCCTTGGCTGACAGCCAGCAAGGAAACAAAATAGGGACCTTAGGGCCTGCAACTGCAAGGAACTGAATTTGACCAGCAACCTGAATGAGTTCGAAAGCAGACTCTTTCTAGAGCCTCAAGTAAGGAAAGAACACAGATTGCTGACTCTTGTCAGTTTTGGCCTTGTGAGAACTCATGCAGGGGACTCATTTAAGAGGTTTGGACTTCTGACTTTCGGAATTGAAATAATAAATGGAATTATTTAAAAGCCACTAAATTTATAGTAATTTGTTACGACAGCAATAGAAGACCAATGTGATTACTTTCAAATAATTGATGAACAAGGAACGATATGTTTTTCTCGTGATTGTATCTACCCTCTGGCACACTACCAATAACTCTAGGAATATTTCAGTTCCAAAGGCCAAGATGGATCGTATGAAGTACAGTGGATCATCTTCACTGTTTGTTTTGTTTTGTTTGTTTGCTTAGGGGTCTCAGATAATTGTTGGAGAAATTAAACAATGCTTACTGAGCCAGCTGCAAATGTTGCAGTGTAAGTTAACTAGATACTTGCTGCTGGGAATTACTCTATTATTGTTCTCCCTGTTAGAGTCCCTTTGACTGACTCTTTCAAAATGCATATTTTCTACTGAAGACTTTCCCATTCCCTTGCAAAGCTCATGTATTACCCTCCTCCCGTTTTTGAAAGTGAATCAAGGTATTTGGCTATGAATCCAGACCTTCTCTGCCTTAGCCTATACTCTTGACTCTATCGAAATGAAGTTCTCCCATGACTTTGTTCACTCAGTTACTGCTTCTCTCTCTAGTACCTTCTACTTTTATCTTTCCTTTACTCCCATCTCTTCTGCCTGAAAAAGCTTGCCTATACCTTGGGGGAAAAATGCTTCCCTTAATTTGCTGTCCCTTCTAGTTATGCTCTTTCCCCAACTAAATGAAAGCCCCAAGAGGACTTTCGTGCCCACTGCCATATCCTCAGCATTTAGAATAGTGCCTGGCAACAAGTGGGTGCCTAGTTAATATTCATTGAAAGAATTAAATCCCATTTTCCTCTATTTTTCTATGGCCAGCCATTTTAATTTTTTCCCTGTGCTTTAATGGATGCAGGTAACAAGTTTTTAATGTGACATGTCTTGAAACATATCAGTGTATATAATCTAATTCTTTAATGACCACATAGAATGGATGAACCACAGTTTGTGTAGCCATTTCTTTACTTTCCATTACACTGTAATTTGCTTTGAAAAAACCTCCAGAGTTATAGAATTTTAAAGGAAGTGTTACAAAAGTGAATGAAATGACAAAGATAGATAATGCAGAATGCATAAGAGATGCGCGATCAGTTTGGAGGTTCCAGTATCTGAGTCATTTCAGTTCAAGAAAGAGCAAAGAAAACAGAGATGACTAATAATGGACACAAGAAAACTTCCCGGAGCTTAAATGCCACAAATTTCTAGCTTGAAAGGGCTTTCTAGATGTGCAGCAAAATGATAGAAAAGCCAAATCAGGAAATGGCACAACACCAAGGAAAAAGATAATCTTAAAAGCTTGGGGAAGGAGGTTACAAGGGAGTGGAGGAGAGAATGCAAATAGG